GCAAACCGTTAGAATTAGTACGGAGATTTCCGCATTCCAAATAAAATAGAACTCCTTAATTGTTTCTGTCCGTAAAAAAAAAAAAAATTCAAAAATTGTAACCCTCCCCCGGGCAGACAGCCAAAATGAACACAATGGATTTCTCGATCGATTGGAACATATAAGAACAAAGCAATTTCTAAACCAATTATACGGATCTCTCACTCTCGAGTATTTTTTTCGATTTGACTTTGTTAGCTGATTCGTTATCGGTCGCGTCGATTAATCGATGGCTCACAATCAGATAACCGAAATCTATCGCGAATTCTTTCTATTCCGCTTTTCTCTCCTCGTTATTCGATTTTTCTGTTTAATTCAATTAGCGAACCGTTACGTAAACGATATAAAAACGACGACGATTAATCGACATTTTTATTTCCAATTTTCATTTCTTCCATGATTGGATTGATCATTATGTTTGGCAAGAATGGAACATTCGAGTGAGATACTACCACTTTCGACCGTGTTTTTCGCGTAGTTAACGTTTTACGATGTAAAAGAAGTTTATGTAAACGCCGTGAGAAAATTTCATCGACATAAGTTTACGGCCGGCGTAAGAGTGCAAAACTATTAATGGCGTGGGCGATCGCTCCATCGTAAATGCATGATGGAACAACGCGTACGGACGTGTACAGCGACCGTGCCGGCTCAACGTGGTTAATCGAAACGATTAAAACCGGTCTCGTATTGCCAAGGGTCATCCTCGTGTTCTTAGATGTTATAAGGGAACGAACGATCCGTTCGAATTTTCAGAGAACGGAAAAGATTCAATTCAAAAGACAGATGTTATATTGATTAAATTTTCACGGAATAAATAATCGATGATGCTGTTACACAAAGAAAAACTGTTTGCAGTAAGTACAGCGATCGCAAAAAAATTATAAAATGTGAAACAATTGTATCAAATTTCAATTTGTTTGGAAAAAGATTGCAAAGAGTACATTTACGTTTCTTCGAGGTTCTGAAAGAAAAAAGAAAAAAATGCTAGATTATCGACATTTTATCAGTTTACCGAAAGTATCGAATATAAAATGTATTGCACAGGACAATCTCCGGAACATTTTCGTCGCTAATTAATCCCGATTTTTTCGCTGCAGCCATTTCGGCTGCAAAAAACAAAGACTGCGCTAGCTTTGAGATTGAAATTCTCGCAGCCACTTCAGTATACAGCCATTGTTTTTTGCGAATCGACTGGAGTAATAATAAAGTAAAAATTGCTTAAAAATGTTTATAAGGCGGAACAACTTTTAAAAATGATTCAATCGCATAGAGATTGATCGGAGCAAGCTAAAAACTATCGCCAAAAGTGTCGAAAATTATTCAATTCTGATAGAGAAAGTAATTTTAAAGAAAATTAATTTTATATCTTTTAACGAATTTAAAGAATTTGTCTAATCGTAGTTATGAATGTTCCATTAAATTGAGGGTGGCGCGAGCAGGAAATATTGTGTATCGGCGCAAGGATGCAATCGCGGAATATATACGCGCTTCCAGTTTGCAAGAAGATGCGGAAGACGATGCCGCGATGATACTGGATACTACGCTCGCAGGCTGCGATTAGTTGGAAACGACTTATGCCTGCCGATCCTTATCGCGACCGATCGTCGAACGCCTCTCTCTACCTGCCGGTCTATTACGGGTTCGGGGAGATGTGAAATACTAGGCGCATGGGTGATCGCATAGTTTTCGATGCGGTTTAACGGTAGGCGGGCGCGAAAGTATTGCCAACATTTTTATCGACGCTACAGGGATCGTAGATCAAGGATAGTACGTACGTGAGGTATTTTGCGGTTATTGATCGACAAATAAGCGTTTACGTGATTATAGAGATAAATAATGTAATTCTAACTTGGAGCCGAAGATATGAAACTCGTCAAAAAAGTCTAGCAAGCAAAAAAAGACGGATTTTATTATAATTTTAATTACGAGAGTAAGAAACAACTTATAAAGAAAAATGCATGTACGGATCCAATTACAAAGTTTAACACAGAATAACTTATTTTTAAATTAAAAGGAAGAGACTAATCGTTTTTCCGTTGTCAGAACTGTTAATTCACATAATTTGAAAAGTTTTAGATTATAATTTGTAAGGAAAGATTAATTATTGTAATGTATCTCTTGATATTCTGAAATAAAATATTTGCCAATGCAAATTAATATTTTATCAAAACGTTTCATTCGTGCTAAGATTTTTCGTTCATTCAATTTCTTCTTCTGTTATAGGACTTTGGACGAAAGTAGATTTGCTTTTAATGCAGTTCGGCAAGAGGCAAGGAAGAAGCCACACCGGTCGTTGATATCGGTATTCTGCTAGCAATTCACCGGGGTGTTCATAAATCAGCGCGGGGAATACGTATGGGATAATGATGAGGGACGAAGACGATGATGAAGAGTCCACGTAGAAGCGTCTGGATGTTACCACCGGGACAACTGATACAGCAGGCGATTGGGAATTTACGGCGTGCGATAGTATCGAAATGGAAAGTTATAGACCGTCTTTAGAATTGCGGATGGTTTACAGCCTAGCCGCGTGTGGCTGATAATCAGCAAAATTGAGTGACAGTTAAAAAATTGGACGTTTGTTACAATGAGGTGGGTCGAATTATGCAGAAAGTTTAGTTAATCACGAGAAAATGTGCAATAAACGTACACCGTTTAAATATACAAATCATAATAATATGAAAAATAATAAAGACCTTCTAATGAAGAAACTGCAAAATAATAAATATCTCCTAATGAATGAATCTATGCACATACTTAAAATATATAAAAAACCAAATAAACAAAGCAATAAAAATTTATAATTACACTCCAGTTCCAGTTTTAGCTATTTCATCTTTTTTACTTCTTTATTTGCAATATTTTAAAATTCAAAAAAGGGAATGAAATGCGTGTGTTTGTATTTTTATGCACCGTTATTAAAAACCGTCTTTAAATTTTTACTCATTAGAGACTGTATTTTTATGCACTGTTATTAAAAACCGTCTTTAAATTTTTACTCATTAGAGACTTGAAAATATAAACTGGGAAATATATAGATATTTTCAGAAAGAAGTGAAGGGGATTTATATTCGCGTTTTCTGAGTTTTAGATTAGAAGAATAAGGACGAAGACAATGATGGAAAATCTGTATGGGAGTGTCTAAGCGATACGGGCAAAGCCGCCGATACGACAGGTGATTGAGAATTTATAGGCTACGATGCTATCGAAAAGGAAAGTTACGGACTGCGACTTAGAATCACGGGGTGTTTATGGACGGATCGTATCGCGGTAGTTTCCTGACGCAATCTCTTTACGTTCAATTCGCATTCTCTAAGGTGCTATCAAAAGTAATACATTGTTACAGGCCTATGTGTATGATTAGACGCTTTATAATGTTCAAAATCTCGGTAACTGAATCTTAAAGTAATATTCTACCTGTGTATGTCCGTTCAATATTAACTGAAGAAGAAAGTTGCTTTAAATACTTAGCTCTAAGAGAGACAGAGACAGTATAGTATTTTACTGTTATGACGTTTTTACGGAAACAATATAAACGTAACGTGAAGGAGATAACGACATTATGCTATAACTCTGATATTGCAGCGATTACGTGATTGATATACTATTAAAAACGCCAAGTTCTAACAAAAGTGTCCTCGTTCTTCGTATTTATAATCGTTCGTGCAATTGATCGACGTACAACGCGTCGAAATTAATTGCCTCGATGTAAGAAAAGCCAAGTTGAAAGAAAATATTTGACGCAGGTATATCGTATAGTGATAAGTTCGTCGATGTGATACCTGTATCCTCATCGTGTATATTTGTAACTGCGTAATAACCATAAATGACGGCGAGAGAATATTAACTTTTAACGCTTTGACGGTACGAGAAATAGCGATAATCGATTTTCCACCTAGCACCTACTCCTCGGACTGACGCTACTGGCGCTGACGATGAGAACGGAACGGCTCTCTGTATATTTCAGGCGAAGCATAAGCAAAACGTTGTTCTACTCGCGAAGTTATTATTGGATTAATTTCTCCTGCACAGGATAATTTTAACTTCGAACTTCATCAGAGGACTATTTTTTTTACGCGACAACTCCGGTTAACAATGACTCGATTATAGAAAGTTATGTTGTTTAAATTGTTAAAAGCCTGGATTCGAGGTTAAATGAGGCCTTCGTATCGCGCATCGCGCGCAAGGTTTATACACGGAGCTTCGTATAATTCAGTGTCAGTTCCCACTACATTGTTTCGGTGTCGTACGTCATTAAGGCTCCACTGAATAACGACAGCGTCGGATAATCCAGCGCTTGATGGAAATCGCGGTTGCTTTTTCTGCGCGGAAAAAGTTGCCGCGAACTCTTATCAAGCTACGCAAACTCGGAGAATGTTATTGCGATGCACAAAAAAGTTGTAGCATCAAAGTAAAAAGAATTAAATAAAAAATACAATCTTTTAATTATTATTTACGTGATAAAAAGCAGTGATAAAAAGAGATATGCATTTAAATTAAATCTTTAATGAAGGTTCAATAAATTATTATTTTTTTTAATTTTACGCGTTTTCTGATTTAAATGAATAATTTCTTTCTTTCTTGCTCGTATGCTGAGAATCATGACAATCTTAAAATCAATTTTAAAATTAAAATCGCGAGTTGAGATATTCTGCATACTCTACGCATGATGCGTTAACGCATTTGATTACAAGTCTGCGATATTTAATTACGAAGACAGGAAGCAAGATTGATCACACGAGATCGTTTATGAACCCGGTACCTAAACCATTACATGCTCTTTCCTACTTTCCTATTAAGTTCATAACTGCAAGATTCACGATTGCACAATCTGTATGTATGTGCATCCTAAGGCAGACCGACGGGCTTTTCCGCCAGATATTTACTAGTCGGTTATCCTAATTATATGTGATATAAGACCACGCAGTCAGGCTTAAGTTTGACGTTAATGCGGGGCTTACCAACGAGACGGATCGCTGCTGAAGCTTGAGTCCCAGGTCCTCTTTTTCGTCCCCGCAGTCGGTCGTATAGAACAGCACGCTCTTCTTGGATCCCCTGAAATCAACCCTCGTTAGTGTCTCTCCGGCGGACAAGAAGGAGGCGCGGGTCTTGTGTCCC